GACCCACGCCTGGTGCTTGTAATTAGCACGAGCTCTGAGCTAGCCCAGCTGTTGTCCCGAACGTCATCACGAAAGCGCAAGAGAAGTCCATCAGCCAGGAGGCAAGTTACTGCAAGTCAAGCAAGTCACTCTCACCAAAGGCTGGGGCGTATTTATTCAGACAGCTTGATGAGGGAGCGTTGGCGACAATTGGACCAATCAGCTATGAGGAAAAATCGATAGCTAGAGTGCGCGCTCTCATTGCTGCGCTGTGGTAACTGTGTTCCGACGCCTTTCTGTGCTGTGACTCATCGTGGTAATGGACGCACTCCCAACAGCCTGTTCGACTGACCACGGTTAATAAGCCAGAACTGTCCATCCGATTCTTCGAGGTCTTTGCTTTTACTCCCACACATGGATGTTCAGGTAATAATTTCAGAAATTATAAAGCGCATGTAAATCAGCATTTTCAAAAAAAAAACAGACGTACACCAGAGGAACGCTGTTATAATGTTCAGTAAAGTCCTGATCATCGAAGGTGAGACCGATGGTGAAGGCGAGGAAGTTCTCGCTGCCGGGTGGGAACCCAACCACGATGCGGATCTCCGGGTCGGTGAAGACGACAACAGCATTGCGGTAGGACAAGAGACTGAGATTGTACTTGAAGAAGGCGGACTTGACAAGAGCCAGCGACTCAAACTCCTACGAAATCAAGAGTGAGTCAGAGAAACGACATTGGCATGACTCGACTAACCACAAGTAAAAAAGAAGTGTTTTCTTCCACAAGTGAGTGGCAGTCGGAGGGGGTCTGCCTTTTATGTGTACAGACAAAGTGTAGAGAAAGGAATATCAGTAATTTCGTGTTTAAAGATCATCGTTAGTACACGGGACTGTTGTACCTTGCGGCATTCCATGCAAGGCAACCTGTATAACCGGGAGCGCTATTATGAACGTTAGCGAGTGCCACCGTAAACTTCCGCTGGATGCCCGCAAATAAAATTATGTGGTGACTTGACTAGTAGCCCCAGGAAGATGTTCCACCCGCTCCCCTGCTCCGCGATAGCTCCAAGCACGACGGTCCATACGAAGAGACCTCATCCTGGACATCTTAAGGTCAGCCGAGTTAAGCAAAGTAGCCCTTCTTTCTCTGCATAGCGTTTTAAGATTTGACCTTCTGGGAATTCCGCTCATACCGACCCGCAGTCAAACCCGATTCATCGCTGACACAGCCATCTGCTGCCCTCTACGTGTACCGACCCTGAAAACCTTCCTAAGTGTGAAGTACGGATGAACAGTTCGATCTCGCAGATAAGTATGATAACCTGGTCTCCTTAGCATAGAGGACTGCGAAACATAGGCAACTGCTGTACTGTACACGTTTTGCCTAGAACAATGACATACACGCAGATTGAACGGTTGTCTGATAAAGAGCATGAATACGGCTCAGATTGCAGGCCGGGCTGACTGATAACGTCATATATACCGGAACTGACGACTACAGCCCCCCTCTTCGTCTTTTCCAGAATGTCTACAGCGTTCTCCGAGCATAGGCCACAGTGCATACAGTAGTTAAGCTAACTCACGCAAAGTCGTGATCGACTCGATAGTTTAGCATACATTTGGTCTCGTTATTTGGATCTGATGTGTGGATTTGATCCTGCCAAAGCTTTTAAGTGAGGAAAACTGCATGTTTAGTGCAGATGATTTGAGGGAAACCAGAAAGATTTAGGCGAAGTTGGAGGTTGCCTGACATGGACCAAATTTCCTATGTTATTTGCCATGACAGAAACAAAACTCTTATGCGTTGTGCAATGGGGGAAACATCAAGATAAGCAGCTTAAGAAGTTTAAAATATATCCCTTCCAGAACCGAAGAACCTAGTCTTCACTTGATGGAAAACAAGTGAAGGCAAGTTTAATGAATCGCAGTGTTTTTTAAAGGAGGAGGGAACAATTTCAGTTGAGAAAATTTTTTTTGCCAACGTGTAAAGTTTTAATCACTTAAAACAGTAAAATAAGTTGGTATTTCGGCAACATTAGTTTAAGTAGTGCACCTCATATACCCCTAGTCCCAGCATTTTGTCCTACGGAAACGGTGACTATAAGGGGTTTATGGGCGGAGAATTAGGATAGGCAGTGGAATAGGCGTTAATAACTGTCATGTGCATTTTCATTTTTAGACAGTCAGTTGGTACTTTACGTCCTTTTTAGATGACAAATTTGCTGACGTTTGATTATTATTATCCTTTCAAAGTTTCCGCGCATACATGAATGTCGGTTTACAAACGAATATCCATTTTTAGAAATTATGGCGTTTTGCATGAGTTTCAGCCTATGCTGTATACCTGTCCAGATTTCATTTTTTTGACAGCATGCTGGCGAACCTCATCACGAGGGCTGGGCA